TTAGGGGCAGCAGCTTAAGCTTTATTAAATTTCACGCACGCCACGCTCGCTGCTGAACCTGAAAATAAATGCACATGCCGGAGAGAACTGCTCCTGCTCCTGCTCCTGGTGGTGACTGTTGCCGGCGAATGGGGTGCAAAATGTTTTCACATCTGCATATAAATTCCTCTCATTTTTGTTCGCACTCCGACAGGCGGCAGGCAGTCAGCTTACACACGCTTTTCGGTTTTCTTTTTTTTTTTTTTTTGTTGCCACCGCCGCCGCTGTTGCCAATATTTGCATTTGCATTCTATTCCACTTTTTTGCCAGCTATTGTCGCCTCCCGGTCCCTGTACTCGCTCTCCACTCGCACGCTGTTTACATAAACATTTTTTTACTATTTTTTTTTTTTTTTTCGTATTTTTTTGGTTCGACACAAACACATTCTGCTGCACAAATTTACATTTAAATTAAATTTTAAGTGCATTTTCAAATAAACTAAGTTGCTGCGAAGCGAGCGAGCGGAGCTGGAGCGAGAGGGGCAATCAAAACTCAATGCGTGCACTTTGCTTTCACGCTCCTGTGAAATTCGCATAAGTCCCGGAGTGGGCGTGGCCCTGGTTCTGGTCCTCGTACTCGTCCTGGTCGTGGTCCTGTCAACGACAGGTTGCAGGTTAAATGCCAGCAACATGGCCAACACGGCCAGAACCGACCGATACCGAGGTGCGAGTATTATGTGGGAGGGACCAACAACATAGCCGCCACATGGCCATATTGATTGTTATCAATTTTGGTTATTACATGGCCAAGCGCCTGCCATTTTCATGGCGATTTTTCACTTGTTCGGGCTTTGGTCATGCCCAGTGGTGTTGCTAGGACTAAATTGCAGGGCCGAAAGGTGAATCGATTCGGCGATCCCTTATAGAAACCGAAAAATGTAGAATTATGCCCCCCAAGACGGCAAGTAATTTAGTCAATTTTAAAGCCACTTAATGATCGTTGATTTGTGTGCTGGTCCAGAGGAAACTTCATGCAGAAGTTTCTACTTTGGATTATGCTTCTGTTTCTGTTTCGGTTTAGTTTCAGCTCCTCCAACTGGTCCCAAATGAGGGGCTGGGGAGCAAGTGGCCGAGGAGCCCGAATAAAGCATTACTGGGGGAAAGTTTCTCTATGCATTTTTGATTGTTCTCAATTGTTTTCGCAATTGTTTGCAGGGTATCCCACGGTCCATTACCCTCTAGTGCTGGAAAATGTTTTTCATCTCGAACTGTGTACTTGTTTTCATTTATTTTATCTTATTTTCTGCTCTTTTTCGTTGTGCATTTTTGGGAATGGCAATAGCCAAATACATACGTGCATCGAGAGATTTATGTTTTTGATTTTTATTGAAGCCGAGTGCATCGATTATACTAACAGCAAATTGAACTAATAAACGAGATTTACATAGCATAAATAAATGCTTTGCCGCATGCATGTAGATATTTATTTTTGCAGAAATCAGCAAGCCCACAAAAACCGGACTAAGCCTGCCAATGGGCTGCGAAACGAATGAGTAAAACAACACCAAATTTGCTTTTTGAGCAGGCTTTTATTTCAGCCAAATATGCTTTCTGCACTGGAATTAATAGATCCTTTTTGGCCTGCCACAGCCAGGGATGCACCTGCCATGGCCGAGTGTGGCACTCGAGAGCTTATAAGGCGCAGCTTTCCATTTATTGCTTAATTTATATGCGCACCGAGAAAAGGATATAAAGTAACAACATTTGTCTCGACATCTATGTGAAGGCATTGCAAAACACAAAGCGGATGGTAAATGAGAATTTAATATAGAATTCTTCAATAAATATTTATAATTCTTATATTTAACTAGTGCACTATGGGGAATTTTGCCATTTCCGTGGTATTTAGTCATTTTATCAAACTTTAAATATTTGAGTTTTTTTTATGTAAACATATTAAAAATATATGGCTCTATAAAATGTAGTACCAGAAATGTTAATTAACAGTGCACTGTTAAGCCTATCCACTGTTAAAGTCGGCTGTTGTAGCCAAAATGCACGTGATTGAAAATAGCTATTTTTTATTCGGTTACTTTGAAATTGAAAAACTAAAAAGTAGAACCAATTTTTGTTTAAAGTTTTGATGGAGACCAATAGTATTGGTAATTATTATGTGTTGTGTGTACTAATACATTGATCTGTGCGTGTCTTACTGATATATTGCGATTTTTCTAAGTGTTCCTCTAAGGAAATTTTTTTGAGAAAATATTTAACTTTAAAGAGACCTATAAAAAATATATGTCTTTGTATTGCTGTACGTCCGATATATGTTGTAGAGGCATTCATTCTAAATAAAAGGCAATTTGTCTCAATGTGCAGAAATCCGCACAATCTGCGTAATTTAATTTTTTTGCAGGTCTTTTCGAGCAAATTTTACCAAGAAAAAACCATTTTTCAAGTTAATTACATATAAATATTAATGTGTCAAATCATTTTACCTGTTTTAAAGGCAAAAGCTAATTTTTTTGCATTAATGTAAGTGCCAAATGGAAGTTATTGGCGAATTTGGAGGCCTGGACCTCTTTTATGAAGAAATTGAATATGAAAATTACGTTTTTTATTTTATATCTGACGAAGAGCTTGAAAATTAAGACAATGTATTTTTTTTTATTATGTTTATAAAATATATTATTAAAAAAAAAAAAATTCACCTTATACACTTAAAAAAATAAATATAAAAATAAAAAAATCGTCAAGCGAGGGCGGAACCACGCCCATTTTTCCAAAAATCATTTCTTATGGAGTCCATAATTATAATAAAAAAAACCGTTTCGAAATATATTACTTAGTTTAAAAGTTATTAATTAATACCATAAAAATGGCCAAATTCCCCATAGTGTAGTGGCTAAACAAGTTCAGTTTATAGTTACATATTATTTTTTTAAAAATTGCTTGGATTTTCATAAATTTGTAGGAAGGCACGTTCTTGTCTTTTCGGTGGTCACAAACGAAGTGTTCTTTATTCATTCTTCCATTCTATGCTTAGCCTATTACATGTATGTATTGGTGTGTCAGTTGACGATCGTGCGAAAGGGACATACAGAGTAGTGTTCCTAAGCACGATCTTCATGTGAGAGCGAGATGTATCTATTGTGCTTATAACTATCGTATAATCCAGCCGTGTATGTACAATAGGTGTGTAAGTGTATAGGGTAGTGTGACTGTTTGCTACATCGGTTAGTGTGGCTGCTTGCTACAATCGGTTAGTGTGGCTGCTTGCTACAAATTTATTCTTATTTTTTTACACTTATTAAATTTCTTTATTGAATCAAAATTCAATGAGATTGTAATCATAATTACTTTATTTATCAGAATATGTTTCACTTGGAAAACTTCCAGGGAACTCTAAAATCATAAACCAATTTTCTGTTTTTTCAAAAACATAAAGACTAATTTGAAGCAGTACTTTTCGAGACTAATTTTTGCTTCAGTGTGTCTGGATAAATAAGTGAGCTGATGAAAAAGTAAAACAGCAAAAGGCAAGGACAAACGAAAATTAATGACAAAATTTAATGGACACTTGTATGGGGCCACGCCCCCTTGCCACCCAAAACACACCCGCTGAGTGCGTGTATATGTTTACACACACTTATGCAGTTGTACACGCAGTAGCGCTCTCTGGCAATGAAGTTTACTTATACAGTTAAGTACGCGTCGTATTTAATGGAGCGAAATTGCATGCCAGCGCAGTGGGTACAGCAACAGCAACAACGGCAACAGCTACTACGGCGAAAACAAACAACAAACGTTAAGATTGTTTGACGGCAGCCGTTTATGAAGCACCCTACGCTGCACTTTCCGCACTTTCGCAGCACGACAAACTCAATAAAACGTCTGGAGGTTGAGGTTTCCTTAGAGCTAGAGCTGGAGCTGGAGCTCAAGCCGGAGTGGAAGTTGTGGCTCGAGTGCAGCACTGATTAGCTGCCGGTTATCCCGGCAAATAAGTTGTGATATGGCCCGATCCGCTGACAGTTCGCCGGCTAAAGAGAGCTGTTGGCACAGTTGAAGTGGCTGCGGGTTTTGCATGATGAAATACCGAGAGCCAAGGTAGCTCTATTCATCCAGGCACACAAGAACAAATATTAGGGTTAAAGTTACCTAAACTTTGGTATAAATATTATTTGGCAACATTAAATAATTCAATAATAGATTTATGGTTTTAAAGAAGATATTGCTAATGAACATTACTCTATAGATTGTGACATTTGCCATTAATCTAGAAAACAATTAATGTTCAAATTACAGTTTAATAGCTTTTCAAATTATTTTTGCTGAACCAATATTTTCATTTTTAATTTTTAAATATAAAAATTGCAGTAATTTATAATCATTTCTGCTGGTGCAACCTCTTAATTGCACCGAATGTTTTTAGACCCGTTCTCCTTAGCATCAGCAGAAAATAGTGCTAAAAATGATTCCCCCTGAAAAGCTGGCTTACTTACCTGTTTTACCTGTGCCACTCTGGCATTTTGGCATTCCGGCACTAAGGCATTCTGGCATTCTGGCACTTTGGCATTAGTGAAACAGCCCGAAGACGCCGCCCGGCTTGCTGCAAAAGGAACTTTCAGCTCATTAACTTAAAAACTTGCGGCGCTCTCGAGCGGGATCTTAGGATTTGGCTGAATGCAGAACATGCATGACAAAGCCGGCCCGAGATGAGATGAACTGAGCGCCGAGCTGTTTCTGTGTAGAGCACTCAAAAAAAAAAAAAAAATAAAAAAAATACCGCAGCATTTTTAATTTACTACAGAAATTACAAGCGAGCTGCGAGCAGCGGGCTGCGTGAGAAAAAGTATTTTTCTTGAAAGCACAAGGAAAGCTGGATGATGTTGGCCACAGGGGAAGTCGGGGTGTGAGTGGTAAGGGGAGGGGTGGAAGCAGGGAAATATAAATAAATAAACCGAGGTCGAATGCAGCAGCACTCCTCCGTCTGCTCTCAAACAGTGCGCCCAGTCAGTCAAGTCACTTTGTCATTCCGAGTGGAGCGGCAGCATCAACAGCATCCTGCATCCTGTATCCAGAAACCTCCATCCAGGATCCACCAGCCAGCACACATTTGCATGACGTCAGGAGTCGAAGGATGCGAATGCGGGCTGCAAGGGATTGCGAATGTGGAGCTTCAGTTTTTGCCAGCGCCGGAATTCTTCATTCTCATTTTTTTTCTCGCCGGCGCCGGGCTTCTTGTTGGTTTTCTGCTGGCAGCGTGTATATTTAATTAAAACAGGATTAATCTAGCAGAAACAATACTTCACTAAATGCAGCGCCAGCCTGTGGTCCTCGGCTCCAGCTTCAGCTTCAGCTTCGGCTCCATTTCCAGTTTCAGCTCCTGCTCCGGCCTGCGGCTTGGCTAACAGACTCGTTGGCTTCGCTGGCAGGCGACTGGTTAGGGAGGGGGGGAAATTGCGGGAAAAACAGTACAGAGCTGCAGGGAAAACCGGAGGCGGGAAGAGGACCTCGGCTGCCAGATTCGCCAGAGCTCAACACAAACAATGGCGTTAACTGCTCATGCACAGCCCCACTCACTCACAGGAACACTGGGGGAAAAAACATATCATAAAGCAAGGATAAGAGACAGCCGAAAAAAATATATCAAGACTGAACGTTAGGGGATTCTGAAAGAATTTGAAAGATTTTATATTTGTAAAAAAATAAAGTCCTTTGTCTTATTGATAAAGTAAAACTTTATTAATATTTTTCAAGAGATATCTTTCCTTTATTCGAATTTTATCTGTAAGTTCACGGTATTATATTATATATTTTCTTATTTTATATTATTTAAATTCGGTTTAAAAATAATCTTATTGTTTGTTGAAAAACAATTTAACATAAGAATTTAAATATATTTTTCCAATCAACTTCTTCAAATATAAAACTTTTTGTGTATTCCAATAAGAAGATACGGGTTAATATAAACATTTTAATTAATTATTACCTCAAATATGTTGAGAATTTTTCTCTTGGTTCACACACACTTCCTCACAGCAGGATCTGCGCTAGTTGGCGGCGGCTTTAATGCACTGTGGGCCCCAAAAAAGTATGCTACGCTTTTTGATACGTTATGCAGATGCCTTGGAAGAGCCCCGCCGACAGCTTAGCAGCGCGCTTTCAATCATTCAACTTCACCTTTAGCCTCAACTGCGACTCCGACTCCTCCGACTCTGGGACTCCCTTTCAGGCCCTGCGTTGCCAATCAAGGAAATTGCGTGCTCACATGTTAAACGGACGGGGAACGGAGGAAGCAGGGACTGCCAAAACAGGACAAATGGGATGGAAAAACAGCAGGAAAGTGGGCGAAACGCTTTTCGGCCATTTACTATCGACTTTAATTAATATTTACCTTCAGCTAGCTTTCACCAAGCGACTATTAGCCGGGGCAAACAGTTTTAACAGCTCTGCGGATGTTTTGACTTTTAGTCCTGCGACTTGAGCCGAGGAGCACCAGTCAAACGGAGGGCAAATAAACAAAATATATGCCAAAGCGGTAGCAATTTCTTCGCTCGCACGTCCAATATAATTTCTCTGTGTTGTTTTTAATATTTTGACCAACCGAAAGAAAACAACTCGCACCGAGGCAGATTGAAATCCAAAAGCCAAGGAGCAGCTACGAGAAGCAGAAGCACAACCAAAACCAGAAGCAGAACCAGAGCCGAAGAACCCAGCAGAAATCCCCACCAGGAAGTGCTATACACAGGCACGGCCAGCAGCAGCAGCAGCAGCAACAACGACAACAACACCAGCGGCAGGACGAGGACTCGGGAGCAAGAGCAACAAAAACAACGGCAACATGAGTCGAAATTGTAGTTGTACAAACACGTCAGCTTTTAAATTACTTGGCCTAAAGGTAAATTGAGCGGAAGTTAAAATGTTGGAAAAACAGCACGAAAAAAGCAAAACCAAAAACACGGGGGCAGCGTCTGTGGGTGGGCTTGATGGGTGGCTTTTCGGGTGGCTTTTCGGGCGGTGTAACGGAATACAGTGGCAGTGCCGGTTAAGTGGGAAAAGGGAAAGGCGGTGTCCATAACAACAACATGCCTGGGAAGCCTGCCGGAGCCAAAGTAGTGGAGGCGAGGAGGCGGCACACGGCAAATTTGCCGGGAGTAAACGCAAGAATAATAACAACCGAAAGCAAGTTTTTCGGCTCAAGTTGTTTTTGCTGCCGCCGCTATGAAATTCAGTGGCATACAGAACGTAATTTCAGCTAAACGAACCGACAAACAAAAACAAACAACAAACGAACGAACGAACGAACAACAAACAGCGGCGAAATATTATTTTAGCTGGCTTGCATCCTTCCTGAAGCCTGGCGGCCAACAGGAGATCCCACCCAGCCTCCCCGCCATTCATATGCGAGCGGTATAAGTTGGCGAAATTGTGCAATAATAAAATATTTGCAATGTACTCGAACGGCGGCACTGGCAGTGGCAACTCCGGCTGCAGCAACAGCAGCAACAGCAGCAACAGCGACAGCGGCAACTGCATTTTCATAAAGTGCAGCTCATAATAAAGCCGCGGGTGGGTGGAATCGCCCCGCGGGGCCCAAATAAAAAGCACAAATAAATATGAGCAGCAGCAGCAGCAGGAACAGGAGCAGCCAGCAACAAGCCGAACCAAAACAAACAACAATGGCAGGACCAGGGACCGGGTCTGGCCAACAAAACCAACAAACCAAGCCAAGTCTCGGGCATGGCCAAAACAAAACAATGCAAAGGAGAAACAAAAAGTATAATAAAGCCCGCGAAAATATTTGCAGCGGGCATTGAGAAATGTTGCGCAATAAAAATTGCATTTTTATGCTGATGTTTGAATTTCACATGCAAATGAAAAACGAAGAGCGCCAACCGAAAAATAACAGCACCGATTCGAATGCCGCTAAAAGGATCGACCAGCGGGTTACCCGATATCAGTTTCAACACTATCCGTTTCGATATGTGTCAGCGATATCAGATTCGCTATCTTTTATCAGGGTTTTTTATCGATTGCATTGAAGAGGCTTACATAAGGGATATTTATTTAAAAGTCATAGTTTTCAGGTAAAGGGTTTGATTTTTATAAGGAAACTTATCTTTCAGCTAGCTAATTAACTAAGAAAAATGTATAAATTAAACAATTATATTTGCCACTTAAAAAATAAATAAAAATCGATTCTTTAAGAAGCTTGAAATGCAGTTTCTACACAAATATCCGAATCCTCAAAAGCTCTTATCGAGGTGCCACACATCCGAGCTCAAAAAATATAGGAAATTGCCGACCAATTTAGCGGATTCCAAAAAGAGAATACATACCACCACCACTGTCGATTGCACGTTTGTGGCTAAATGGAGTGGATTTAATATGCCTTTGATACCCTCTGACTGCCGTGTAGCATAGACAACAAAATGGTCTGGAAATAAAGGGGACCGGGCTAGGGATACCGGGGCAGGAAGTGCCGCTACCGCTGCCGCTGCCGCTTTCCCGGCTTTTCCCGCCTTTAGCCTCTTCTGCAGTCCCTGCTTTTCCCTGGTTTTCCTCGCTGTCAGTGGCAGCGCCGGTTCGCGGCTTAGCTGAGACTTTGCGCCCACGCTCCACGTGTTTATGACTTTGAATTGCAACTTCATCCGCCGTGTGGGCCGCCATAGCCCTTAGCCGTTGTTGCTGTTCCTGTTCCTGCTGTTGCTCTTGCTGTTGTAGCGGCAATTTTTGTTCCAGTACTGCCGGGCGCCGGGTGCCGTTCGCTGTCGGGTGCAATGATGGCGGCGCATAGCGCGCATTGTGACGCGAAATGGCGTCGAGTTGAATAATCCAACATGGCGCTTTGCCGCCGCCGCCGCCGCCGCCGAGAGCTGTAGTATTTGTGTTCTCGCCAGTGTTTGTGTGCGTTGTGTTGTCTGTTTCCGGCAGCCGGATAAAAAACTTGGCGTTAAAGTGTTAATATTTTGAGTTTTGAGAGCGGAGTGGCAGGACTGGCAGGACTGGCAGTCGAGGCAGGCCTGGCAGGACATGCAAATGGCCGGGTCAGAGGTCGCGGGCAGAGTTACTGCAGAGCGACAGCTTCGACGCTGTTTCCCCTCGACGCTGACACTTGTTCAATTCAAATAGCACGCCAGAGTCCCGACATTGATGTCCTGGCACGGCATTCCTCCGCCTGGCGCCTGCTTTTTGGGCCTAGCTCCGAATGGCGTGCCCGGCGAGCCGCATTTATGTTATCTTTAATTTTTCACAACGAAATTGGCCGTGGGAGTGCAGTTCCAATTGCCAGACAACAAGCATATTTATTTATATTGCCGCCCCGCTCGACCCCGATGCGAAGCCTGAACTGTCATAAAGGCAGGACGAAAGCCGAGCCACTTCAGTTCTCAGTTTTGACTGGTAGAAATGGTGGGAGGAATGGGAGTTCTTCTTCTTGGCTTCAAAAGGGAAACGTTGAAGATAGAATATAGCCCACTGGGCAGCTGAATTTGGAGACTTGAAAGGAAAACGCTAGTCAATTAGGATAAACTTTGAGGGACTTGAATAGAGAACTTAAGTTTTAAAGCAGAGTTTAAACTGAAAATCTTTAAAAATTAAAATGTTAAATATATAGACAGCCTTGAAATATATTTTTTTCCTACTTAAATTTAGCATCGAGGCAGTTTAGTTTAGGTTTTAATAAACGTACCACAATTTGTATATGATTTTATTTTGTTTGTTGTAAAGTAGAGAGATCTAAAAGGGTACAACTATATTTTAAATAAAGCCTTAACAATGTTATTTAGTTTTAAAGTAATTTAAGGAGAAATCGTAGTAAAATACAAATATTAAATACTTAATGGATATATATACATATATAACAATGTCTTCCTTTCGTGGTGCTGCAAGTCCAGAGGCTCAAACTTGAATGCTCGTTTTGTGTTTGAGCCAATATTTGGCATTTGGTCTTTTGGCCAGCAATGCGCATGGAAGAACGGACACAATTGATGTCTTGGCAAATTAATCAGGCGAGCACTGCATTTCGCGGTCAGTTTGCCCAAGTGCCGCCAATTAGATCGCTGTGGTCCTGGCCAAGGTTTCTTGGGTTCGCCAAGCTGGAAACGGAAACTAAAGGCTCACTCAAGCTCATGAGAATGGTCTTTGTAGTGGAGAACCAATTAAATTTGATTTATTCCCGCGGTACCGTCTCTTTGTCGGTTAATCGCTGATTGGTCGGTGTAAGTTTCAGTTTTACTTAAAAATTAATTATCAGCCTGCTTGGATCGCGCTGTTGACTTTGTCCGGTCACGTCGCATTAACCATACGCACTGTGTGCACAGCGCATAACTGCCGGCCAGCCAAGCAATCAAGCGAACTGTCAGCAAAGCCCCACATTCACAGCCACATCCATGTCCATGTCCACGACCGCGCTCTTGCCCCAATCCCCGCCTGAAATTCACCGGCAAACCAATTGCAGAGTTTCCAGGCAAACAACTTGCCAGACTGAAGAAAAAACAAAAAAAAAAAAAAAAACCCGCGAATTGTCAGGCTGGCGTTTAAAACCAGTTCGCATCAATTTAAGCGGACATATGCTTAACTTTGCTTGCGGTGATTTTTCAACTTGGCCCGCAGAGTTGCAGTTCCAGGTAGTCGCTTGTTACCTCTCCTCCTTGGCTTGCCTTGCCTTGCCATGCTGCCTCCTTCTGGAGTGCTTTGCACATTGACAGCGTTAATTAACTTTTAATTTAATTTCGCGTAAATGAGTTTTTACTGTCAGCGCGCGTTGCTTTATTTAAGCTGACAAAAAACGCAATTTGCAATGCAGGAGTTTTGCAGCGGGACGAGCGAGTGAGGGCATGCTTTTAAGCGCGGTTTTCAAATGTGGCTGCGATGTCGTCAGCCAGTGTCAATTTATGCCGCCAAAGTGAAAATCCAAACTGAAAGATTTATGCAGGCGACGCAGAAACATGCGCTGGGCACACATACACATACGTACTATATATATTATTTATACTTTTTTCGCCAGCAAATGTGATTTATACGAAAAATCTCAGCAACAAGCGCCGCGGCGGTGTGTGCGTGTGAAATATTTTGCAGCGTTTGAGATTTTTAAATTCAATTTCCCAACCAGACCCAGATGCAGTTGTAGTTGCAGTTTCGGTTGCAACTTGCACTGCCAGTTGCAGATGAATGGAGGGATTCAGATTCAGATGCCGATGGCCATGTCGATGTGATGTCGAGGCCAGCCGTTGCATAAATAAGCGCTTTAGACCACTGTGCTGGCAGGAGCTGAGGAGCAGCTCCTCCGCCATGCCGGAGGGCCTGAAGGCCGCACAGAAGGTGTGTGTTTTATTAATTGCCAGCGCCAATGCCGCAGCGGCCGCAGCAGCCGCCACCAAGAGAAATATGCGAGCAATGCACGCATGCGGTTCCCTCAGTTTCCCCTCCGTTTTTCCAGTTTTCCCCGCTTTCCCTTCACCACCGCTTACCCCGTTTTTTTTACCGCCAACTCTTCAGGCCCTCACCGCTTCCGAGTGGCCAGTGGCACGTTATATCGTTAATGAAAACTGATTCTAGTGTCATTAACGTGCGAGCTTTCCAGACCGATTCGAGTGCAATGTGCGCCGTATCTTTTTGCACTGCAACAAAAAAACGTTGCAGTACCAGTACTTCCTATAAAAACTATTGGAAAAATTAAATATATTTTATGTACTTTAGAAACTTTAATGTACTGAGATAACTTTGATAAAAATAGTTTCTTTTAGAGATATTTTCGTTTCCATTTCCATTTTTTCGTGTGCTCTTCCTTACCCGCCTGTCCTTGGGACTTTGACACCCGATCCCCGATCCCGATACCGACACCTCTCCTTGTCCCATCCTCGCCAGTGGGCATGACGAGTCATTTAAACTGATGCGTCGCCAACTGCGTGAGCAACTGATTGCGTCCTGCCACTCTCCAGTCTCACCAGTCCACCATGTCCCCCCCGCGGCCACCCGCCCTCGGTATTGTCCTTCTCGTTACTGAACCCGCTGACGACTTAATGACAGTCATACAAAATGCGACAACGGTGCGAAAATTGCAAGGCTTGCCTTTGCCAACAGCACTGCAGCGGCGCTCCCGATGATTACCTTTTAATGCAAATATAAAAAATGAAAGAACAACATAAAGCGATCACTCGACAAGAAGTCGAGCAGAAGATGCTCTTAGAAGTCTTGTTAAAAATTTTAATACTTAAATTCTTGGAAATATATTAAAAAAATATTATTTATAAAATATTTCCGCTTTTCAAGGGTTTCAATTAAGTTAATTATTATTATAGGTAACCCAGGTAAACACTGGTTTGCTAAAATAAATAAATCGTACCTGTAATTATATATGAATCTCTTGAAAACATGTGTATTGAAATGAATAATGTGTAATTGAATGGCTGTTTTGATTCGTGTTTAAATTGATTGACAACTGCAAGCCGCCTGGTGGCGTCGGACACGCCCTAAAAAACGCAGGGTATAATCAAACGCGATGGCGACAGCAACAACAAAGCCAAGCTGACAAAGGCAAAAACAAAAAACGAAAAGCCAAAACAAAAAACAAAAAAAGACAGAAAACAAGAAGAACAACGTTGGCCCAAAGGGGAATCCCGGCATCGGGGATCTGGACAGAGCTTCACTGCCATGCCGTAGCATGGCATGTGTAAATGACGCTTAAAATTGAAAAATTAAATGAGAAATTATTATGTGTGGCAGCGGGAAGGAGCCAGGGATCCCTGGATAGGGACGCGGACGCGGATGCGGACTCGGATACGGCCCAATGGGACATGTGCGTTAATGTGCGAGTGTGAGGCGGCGGCGCAGTGTCATTAAATTAATTTGTCAAATATGTATAAAATAATAAATTACCTTTTTGTCAGTTACTCGTTTATTAATTTGTACATGGCAACAACTTTTCGGCGCGCTCGCCAAAAGGGAGCAAAAAATGGAAACCAGGACGAGGCAGTGTCCAGAAGTCAACTAGCATAAAAAATTATGATGTGTAAAAAAGTAAACACACACGCGCGGCTTACAAAAAAAATGAGGAGTCTGAGGCTTGTGGGGGATATAGTGAAAAATTGGACAAATTGCCTGGCTGGTTGGCTGCTCATCGTGTATCGTTTAATAGAAACGCCGACCCACCACGTCACATGTTTTCTGTCCATTTTTATTTCACAGCTCACGGGCCGAAAGTTGAATGATTTATGATTTATTCAATGCAGCGAGCCAAGCGGCTTGTGTGACTCCACTCTCTCTCTCTCGGTCTGTGTCTGTTAAATTATTTTTTAATGTGTCTATTAAAAAATACAACAGCTGCATCAACAACTGACAGCGGCAGCAGCAACAACGACCGCGGCAGCAATTGGTTTCGACAAAGGGTATGCACAGGTAGAAATGATAACCTAATGTATTTTAATTAATAACTAAATAAGTCTCTTCTGGAACTCTTTTATTTCGAAACCATTTGCCCTTTCTAACAAATTTAAACCGTTCTAAACATTAACATGTATTTATAGATATACAAAAACTGCATATTTTAATGTGAAACCCTGCCATCTCAACCCTTTTTTCGTCCTGTGCAACACTATATAGTACATGGCGAGTGGTGCTCTGGTTCAAGTCGGGGATTTGGCGCCGGCATTAACATGGAACCAATATAAATGGCATGCCAAATTGTAGTGGATGAACAAATTTGCCGCTTCATATGCGAGCGGCAATAAAAACTTGTAGCGCCAAAGCCAAATGCGATTTGGTGGGGCATTTGTTTTAAATTACCCTGGCGTGTAAGTGATGAACTGGTGTGTCTGTGTGTTGGTCCGGCCGTTGTAACGGCAAATTGAGCAGTCGGCAGAAAACAACAAACAAACCAACAAACTGAGCCTTCGACCCACCAACAAGCATAACAAAAAAAACACACACAAAAAGTGGAGCATTGAACTCGCCCTCGCCAGGGGATTTCCCGAAAAAAAAAAGGGCCAGCACCATGATGAGCCATAAAACTATTGCAGCTATTTGGAGTAGATTGCAGGGGCCAGCGATACAGAGATACTTGCCTCGAACTGCCGAGACCACGAAGTAAACATTTCCGTAAGCAGTCAGAAGACTATTGCAATTCAGGCCAGAGCACCGCTAAAGCCAACTGATCCAGTGTCCAACATAAATTCGAAACAGTGGACTTCCTGTCTTCCGATTTTATGAACTACAGAAATGAGCCCCAACTAGTTTTACGGACTTGGAATTTATATAATCACTTCAAAAATATATTTCTTATGTCTAATTGTTATTTATTTGTGTTTTTGTAATTTAAAATATTTTAATTATATGAATATATTTAAAGCCATCGCCTAGGTGTTCGATAACGATCATCAGGAGCCATATCCACTTGATAGTAGGTAAACGCCACAATGGAAAAAATAAAATATAGCACTAAAAGTCAAACGGAACAATATAATAAAGTCTCAACAAAACTATAAATATCGTATTCACCTAGGGGAAGAATTGTCCAGTGGATGAAGAAAATGCCCATGCCACATATTATTATAGAGGTACATACCAGACTTCGTACGCCCTACAAGAAACAGTGTTCAGATGATTAATAATATTTTTAGAATAATAAAATACAACCTTAAGGACGCCAATTAGTAGCAACAGACCAGATAATGCCAACTCAATTCCACATAGGCAGCCCAAAATGGCAATTACCATTGGAAAATCCTGCTCTTTCACAAAACTAATGACACAGGCTGAATAATACATATAAAAATATATAAATCAAATCAATTTGTTCAACTTACGTATGAAACCAATGCCAAAAACTATATTAAGAACCGCCCAGAAAATGCAGGCCCTGTATTTGGAGCATATATTCAGACGTTTCCAGCAGCTTGACTTCTTGCACATTATAATGAACGTATGTGAGCATCGAATAAGTATATATTTTGACAGATTAGTAAAGGCATAGTTGCTCATCTTACAGAAAGTAATGGGATACAACGGAGACTATAATACATCAACATTGTGCCCGAGTGTGGACAATGGTAAAAGTAAGCAAATAATGTCAATCAATTACTGCATTAAACTTTCCCCATTTAGTTTACCCGTTGAAGCGTGGAAAGTGAACACAGTGCCGGGCGTCCAAACAAGTTGAAACCCTTTCAGCTTTCCACCGAAATTCGCCCCTCCATGTCCATGTTAACTAATCAAATAACTGTAGCGACACGAAAATACCCAAATGTGGCCATGTCACTGGTTTTGGCCGCCGGCGCTGACAGTGTCCAAATCCAATGCAAACAAAAGTGCAAATGAGTTCGAGAGAGCGACGCTAAAATGTTTGCCCAAGCCAAAATGTTAATGGTAATGACAGCTCCGAGAATCCGTTAACGAACTACGGGCACGTTCCGTTGTCAGTTCCCACTGGTACACTCCTCCACTCCTCCATTACCATTCTCTCTTCCGATCCCGATTCTGATTCTGATTCCCGATCCCCGGGAGCAGCAAACAATTTCCCACAGCGCAGCACCCAAAGGCCAACGAATGCCATTAAAAATTGCCACGTGAAATGTTTTCAAAGGCCAGCGAGATGAGTAGGGCAGCTGACATCCGAATCCTTCGGCTAATGGCCAGTCGTCCACCTAACTAAATTAAAATATTTACGGGCAGATCTGCATGTATCCCAATTATACGCGACCCAAAATATGATAGTTAGATGGCCGGGCCCAGACCGAAACCCCAAAAACCCAAACGAAACCGCACCAAGAAGACAACCCGGCTAAATCCCATAATTAAGCTTGTATGCATGTCCTGGTCCTCGTCCTCGTCCTCGTTCTCGTCCTTGTCGTCGTCCTTTTTGCGTGCATGTGATGTATTAATTTAGAGAAAACCTGGGTGCTGCTGGGTGGCTTCTCCCCCCCGCTCAACCCAGCGACTAAAATAACTACCGCATGGTCGACAATGGGAACCGGCAACCGGCAACGGCCACAATTACACCTACAGGATGGAGCCAGTCGGGACAGGACAATGGCAGGACAAGGGCCGGGTTGGGATGAGATTTTTCGGCTGCTCTGGGAGCAGCAACAGCAAAACTATTTCACAGCTAAAAATGCTGTTATGCGTTTATATTAACACGGATGTGCCCGCACACACGGACGCCCCGCCGCCATGGCGTCCATAGAGTCCTGGCGCAGGACACGTAGAAAGGTAGCCAGCATACATTAGCAGGCACGTAGGATGCAAACTAACTGTACCATTGGAGCAGAAATAGTATCAGCGATACGAATCATATGCGGCAGCTCCAAAAAACCCAAACCAAGCGCAGACCAGGACACCCCGATGTAACGCGCACCCACTACTACTCTCACTCCCACTCGCACATCCCATATGGCCACCCGATCCGACGGAGCACGAGCACCCTTCCATGCGATGCGACATGGTCGCACACAGGCATGTGGAGCAGCATTCGCGGAGGCAGAATGAGCAGAAGTTGAAGGTTGAATAATAAATTTAGGATGTTTTATTTAATATTTTGATATTTGCGATAGTATTATGAGGTTATTTTATATTTAAGACTTAAAATATACTTTACAATTTATTCGATCTTCTCTATTTCTTTCATAAATTTCTAGGAATTTATTGATATTTTTATTTAAAAGTATGGATCTTCCTAAAAAGGATATTTTTCAACAGTTTATAATGTACCATTGCCTCGCAAAGAACCCACAAATAGACCCTCGCTATGTGCAAGTTTCGTTACACGCTAAACAGTTGGCAAGTATCAGAAGTGGGTGGTGGAGATCGGGGAAGGAATACCATGGAGCTGTGGGTGGGAGAAGTATCCTTTGTGCCGGCATGCAGCGCTGGCAAAAGTTAGTTACGAGTGCGAACAATGATATTACGTAAAATATTTTGAAACTGCTGCTCTCAGTTTCGCTGTTTTCTGTGTGTGGGCGGGCGGGATGAGGGGTGGTAGCGTGTGATGGGAGGCGTGGGCGTGGCCGGGGGAGTTCCTGCGGCCACGTGGCATGTGACAGCAAAGCGCTGCTCTGACTCCGGCACCACCTTTGCCGTAATTGTGTCGCACATGACCCTTCTGTTGGCGGATGGCACCGGTACCGGCACCGTCACCGTCACCCTTTTTGGTAACCGAACTGGAGCGCACGGGAGCTGAGTGCAATAACCACAATTTCAGATTGAGATGGAGCCATCCTCTAGCCCCCCCCCATCCGTAACCCAGCTCCGGCGTAAGCTCATTACGCTCTGGCTTTGTTTTGGACTAATTAAATTTGAATGACTATTTTCACTTAAAAACTTTTTGCCCCACTCGTTGGCTTTGCTCCTTTCGCCCCAGTCCAACGACTGACTTGTTTTTGTTTCGTGTTTTGTGTGTTTGGCGTTGGCGTTGGCGCCAGATTTTGTTTAAATGTTGCTGGGGTTGGGCTGCTGCTGCCGCCGCCCGAAACTCTTGAGTGAGCCATAAACAATGTGGCTGGCAGCCTGGCTAAAAACCCGCAGCCGCAGCTCCCGGCCACGCCACGCACCCCCAGAAATGCCAAAGTGTCGTCCGGATGTCGCACAAAATATTAGAAATGATACTTAACCACAGAATTGCAGAGCTTTCGCTTTTGGATCGACTGGGTGTGTGTGCATGTGAGTGTGTCTATGTCTGTGGGAGTTAATTGTTGGCCGGGCCAACAGCCAGCAGCCAAGCGTTTTGGCCACCTTTTTTCGGGGTTGCTCCTGCGGGGGTGGCTGCCGAAATTCCGAAATGCCAAATTGTGAAATTAGCAGCAGCGGCAAATGGCAGCCGGAAACGTGCCGCAAGCCGGATATAAGCAACGCTGGCTGCAACAATATATCCCAAAACTCTTTTCAATCCCGAAACAAATTCGCTCGGTTGGCCGACCTCAAATACATTTCATGAATCATGATTTTATTAGCCGGCCAATAGATGAATTCGCGTATTTTAAATATATAATTCCATCGAAATTAACGCTACAATCACATTTGCTTTCTGCCATTTCATTTGCGGCCATAAATAGCCCGCGGATAAAGGATATTAATGGATTTTGTTTCGCCAAGCCAGCCAGCCAACCGTAATTTCTATGTGTTTGTATAAATACAAACCAAAATTAAAATAAAAGATATTTATAATAAGGAATAAAGCCGCCGACAAACGATGAATATAAATAAATAAAAACCGGCAAACGTGCGTGGCCATCGCCGCGATCTCGGGAAACCCGGCTCCGGCAAGGGCGTGGCGGAAAATCAATAACTACAACTACGCTTTGACCAGCAAAAACGACAATAACAACAACTGCAAAAGCCAACTTGATTGTGGTGCACAAAGATTTAATTGTGTTCAATTGAAATGAAATCAAATGAAATTTGCCTGCAATTGCGTCTATTGTTACGGTTAGTATGGTAAGTAGTGCTTGATACCGTAAAATATATCTAGAATTTTCCGAATCGGGGGCTTATAATAGATATATAACGTTATGAAAACAAAACATTGCTTTTCGCTACCGGTAGAGATTTAAAAACACCAAAAAGTTATGTTTTTTATTATTTTTTATTATGTTTAATATTTAAATAAAATAATAGATATATTTTATTGGGTCAAATATGCTTCCTTGTTTTTGTTTTATATATTTTCTGTAGGCCTTAAATTATGTATAAAACCCTAGGGATAAAAACTTGTCAAGTTTGACTAAAATATTCTATTTAAGTTATATATTAGCTTTAATAAATCTGAGCTTATAATAAACATTAAATACTTTAAAATCATATAAGTAAATTTAATCTAAAAATTTTTCAAAACCCATTTTAATGTCATGATTGATAAGAGACCCTAGCAATGTGACAGAATATTCAAGAATATCCATAAATAGACCAAACAACCCGCTTAGGCTCTACAAAACGATTCTGGCTCCCACGTGTATGGGATATCCTGTAGCAATTTTCCCCGATTGCAATCATTTTGGATGAGTACTTCTATCTTTCAGCGATGCTATCCCAATCGATTCAAATGAATTTGTGGTTTTCAGGCCCCAGCATTAAGTTGAACCATCAGCTTGCTGAACCATTTTAATATCCGTCATTCTTTTCCCTTTAAAAATCGAACACGTTGGTCGTTGTTGTCCTTGTTGTCCTTGTTGTTGCTGCGGCGGCATGTGTCGGCCGTTTTTTTTTTTTTTTGTCGGTATTTGGGGGGCTTTTGCGGCAAGGCAAGGGGTCTAGCACTGCTGGGGGCTACATCCAACTCGTTACCAAAAAGCTAAACCGTGCAAAATCAAATAAAAAGCTATGGTAATTGGCTGTCGGTTGTTAAATTTTACAATCATTTTCCAGCTTTACGTTGCGTTGCTTTGCGTTTGCCCGTTTTGTGGTTGAACTAGGGAAAGTTTGTTTTTGACAAACTAAAGAGCAAATGTGTGTGCGTGTGTTTTTGGGGTGTAGGTGTGGGCATACATAGGTGTGTGTGTAAATACATAATGCGGCACGTAAATGCGCATTAACAGCTATTGCAGCAGGCCCTCACACGGACAGGCGACAGGCGACAGGCAGCAGGCGGCAGGACGATGCCAATATCAATATCCGTGGGCCTGATTAAAATGAAATATGAACATTAACCGCATTTGTTTAAATATACATCGAAACCGCACACACTGCGTGCAAACACTCACACCAGCACACACACACAGAACAGCACACACACACTGAAACAGACACGAAACTAAAAGCGGGTCTAAAGGCTTAACTAGGGGACTGCGGCTATTTGGTTGCGTTGAGATAATAGACAAACACACAAAACTGCGGACAAGAACATTTAATAATGACCTCACGACCTCACGTTTGCGAGCAGTGCAATCTCCCATAATGCCAAATGGGAGATCAGCGACGTATATACGGGGAGCGATCACGAGGCTATCCTCTGTTCGGTAGGGGAGTCCGAGAGTCCTCGCG